GCATCAGGTAGGCCATGGTCACTGTGCTGCTCCGGCTTATCCCCAGGCTGGAGAACACCAGCACTGCTCCGCCAGCCAGCTGAGCATCTGCGTAAGGAAATGCCAATCACAAATTAGCGATCTGGGAAATGGAGCTTCCAGTCGCACAGCCAAGCTCTGACCCAGGGGCAGCTGACAGGCCAGCAGCCTGAGCGACAGGAGCCCTCACGAACGCTGGCAGCAGCAGATGGGCACTGACAGCTCCCACTTCCGTAAGCGTTTGCCTTTCTTAAAAAGCCACTGGGTTAAAACGTGGCTTTGAAGAGCAGAACCAAACACCAGTGGCCAGTCAGTGCTTCGTTACAGATCACTGTCACCTTTCCATCAGGTCACAGGAGTGGTCTGGCATGACCGACCTGCTGTGGGCAGCATCACCTACTCACACTCTTCCCAGAAAGGCTCAAAGGTTTCTGATGAACGCAAGCCTCACTGTCCTCCACTCAAGCTGGATGCTGTGACTCTGTGGAGGAATTGCCTCCCAAACTGGAGGGGACTTAGACTTCAAATCCCCCACCCCTCCGTGGGCATCACCAGCAGGAAGCATGTACATGCCAGCTAGGGTGCTGGTTTTAGGATATTTTTACGGTGGACACTTTGCAGTGAATATTGCCAAGATCAGCAAACTCATTTTCTACTAAGGCTGAGCCCGGGGATACTGTCAGTCGCTCCTAACCACGTTAACTCTGCTCTGTGCCTAGAAGGCTGCATATTTTGTTCATGACCTTTTGAATTCTTTCCCTCACTCTCCAGAGCAGACAGCATGACGTGTTTTTAGAATATCAGCAACTGAACTCTCGAATCCATAGGGCAAAGGCTCTTCTTTCACTGCTGTCGAGAGGCTGTGGGGCTTTGATTTTTTTTTTCAAGCACTAAACCAGCATTTCCATCATGATATACTAGTTCTGTTCGAAGACCTGAGTAGAAATGGCCTCGCTCCAACACACACCTGGCATGAGGACATCCACACTCCTCTCGCAGTATGTGGACAGCTTCAGCCTCGTGTTCCCCACAACCATTTCAGTTTCAGTATTCTACTCTAGACTGGCAGGTGAACAGTTTGACTATCAAGTGAACTGTACACACTTCCCCAAGAGCTACAGCTAATAAACTCTTACAGTCTGTTTTGGAAACTTCCACAAACTGATGTGAGAAAGAAACTTTCTTCTGAAACTCTACTGGGAAAAACCTGGGGCAAAATGAAAGCCAAGTAAGTGGATTTCAATATTTGGGTTTCAAGGCTTGCAAATCACGAAATTCAGTTCAGGACTACAAAATGCTATCCTCAAATATTGTTTCCTTGTTTCTTTGTTTGTGTCCAGTTGTCATTTCTTACATTGTCCCTGGATTATAAGGTCTGCGGGGACAGGGTGCTCTTTTGCTTATGGGTCTGTGCACCACTCGGCTCAGCAGGGCCTTGCTCTGTGCCAGGTGTTATTTCATAAGTGTGATGAAAGATAATGACACGGTTGGACGCCACCACAGAACAGAGCTGCGGGAGTGACCGCTGCTGTGCTGCTGCAAGCACCGAGCTGGGTTTTTTCCTGCTCTCTCTGACGTAATCGGCTGCAGGGAGGTTTATGCCATCCAGGCTGAAAGTCTTCCTCGGCCCTACCGTGGGCCTGCACTGCAAATCACAAAGGTTAGCAGCATCTCGGGGGAAGTTCTCTAACGTGTGTCCCACTCTTGTTCAGATAAAGCCCTGGTGGTTGCAGATCTGGGCTGTTAAGAGCCAAAGGGTTGTATTTATTTAAGGATGGAGGAATAGGAGGGAATCCTGTGAAGCCCTGGCAGGCATCCTGCAGCAGAGCCTTTTCTGATCAGGTGGAAAGCTCACTGTTACCAGAGAGTGAGGTATTCGGAGAGTGAGTAGGACCAGCAGAGCCAGGTGCTCCGTAGAACCTCCTCTCTGTCCATCAGGCTGGTTAGTAAGGCAGCTCTGGCATCCATTAGGGTGTGGGCTTGCTTGGGAGTGCACTGATCTCAAAAGATTACGACCCTCCTGCCTGAGCTTCCTGTCCCAGTGAATTGCAGTCACTCCCATCTAATATCCCAGAGTGAGCAAGGTCTCAGGAATTCCCCATCAGGAACAACTCACCGATGAAATGACAAACGGTGGCAAAGGAAGAAAAAAGGTCTGCTTCGAGCGAATCTGGAACAGATATGTGGAGGTATTTGCCACCTTCTGCAAACCTGGAAAAAGAGCACACAGCGTGACACGGACCAGAGAAGCAGCTTTGAAAAAACGTGTTTGTTGGAGGCGAGGTGATAATTTTGTTTGCTGTTACATGTATGAGTTTTTCATCACCGTCATCATTAACATTATGATAAGGGATTTGTTATGGTAAGACACCGAGATGCTTGTAATACAGAACTGGTTTAATTGTTGATTTTCCATTCCACGTGGTATCAGCACTGATGTCTTAACCTAAACCTACAGCTTCCTTTACCCAAGAGCTGAATGAAAGCAGATGAACTGAAAGCAAGAGCGCCTCCACAGCGTGCACGGTGGCAGCTGTGTGGACATAGCCCCCCAGTTCACTTCACGTGGTTTGCTATGACAGCATCCTCTTTCTTCCACAGCTCAGGGAACTATGGAGCAAAACACTGGTGAAACGTGAAAGCACGTCATGCAGAGGGCACGGGAAGATCACCCACAGTGCAGAGACCTTTGATGTTTTCCTCTGGAGCCAAAGGCATGAGGAATGTCTGCTGGTGCACATGCACTGGGGTAGGTAACTGGGTTTGTTACTTACATTGTTTTGGTCACCACCTCCAGAAATGCTGCTGGGTTTTTCACTGTGTGAATTGGCCTTTCCAGCACAGCCTTTCCAGCCTGAGCTGCGTGGTCGTGGACAGGTGTAGGTAAGGGAGGAAGACCAACAACGTGAAACACTGGTCATTCAGCTTTTACACTGAGGGGTTTGTAAGATTTTGCTCTGAAAGCTCTTCAGAGATATAGGTTCTTCCCAAAGGCTGGGGGTACGCGATAGACTCGAAATGCCAAGGGCCTCGTAGTTTTCCTCTCACCCAACCCACCTGTGCCAGGGTGAGGGCCGCAGGACTGCACTGCTGCTGTGCCAGCTCTGGAGTAGAGAGCGGCCACACGGGCATGAAACAGCACTCGCATCTGCGGAGAACCACGGAGCTTTCCTCGGCGGTTCACAGGCACCGACCCCTGCGCACGGGCTCTGGTGCTGCGCCACCTCACCTTCTTCACAGGCACTGGTGAGGACAGACCTTGAACTATTTAACTTACTGTGTTACAGGCTGTTCAGAGATGTTGACTTGTGCTTTGATCTTCAGATCTTTCTGAATTTGTTGGTCACAGGCCTGCTTGAAGTTGCCCATATATAACTTTGCAGGCAGTATTTCTACAGGGTATGGCTGCAAGTTATCTAGTTCCTGCCGGAGAGAAACCATAGGCTCAGTTTAGAGGGTGTGCTTGCTCCTATCAGCATGGCAAGTTCTTAAACAGAAGTCATGTGAAGAACTGAACACACATTTAGCCAACGGCCCATGACACATTCTAGTGTAACAATTCATTCAATCACCTGGACCTTCTGTATATTTGAAGTTTTTGCTAATTTGCTGAGAATAATGAACAGCATTGCTGTCATTGTGGCACTACTTGAAACAAATCCTAACAGAACAGGAGGCAGCGTCTGTTCTTTACGTTGTCTGGAGGGACTGCAGCATTGGATGTTCTCCCCAGCTGCTGTTTGCAAGGTTCAACGAAACCATCTGCCACCTGCGGAGCTGCAGGTGCAGCAGTGGCTCAGTGCGAGGCCGCAGCTGCTTCCCGTGTCTGCAACGTGCAGGCTGAACAAAAATACACAAGGAGCCAACAGTGCCTCTCCTTCTGTCCCTAAGGGGGCCTTGGCTCACGCTAGAGCAGAACAAGGCAGCAGCCCAACAATCTGAAGCAACAGGGACCAGAGGCTCAAACCGAGAGGCCAGGAGGGACGCGGTGTCCAATGGACACTGGTGGGGAAGCTCAGCATTTCGCTGCCTTTCCCAAAGGAGCACAAAGTGAATTGGTTTTCTCTCCTGTCCCCCAGGTTAGCACCGTGCCGCAGGTATTTCATGTGAACCAGAAGTGAACGGGAGCAACGGAGACAAAAGGCACGTGGCAATGAGATGCTCTCTGCTGCTCAGCACCCTCTGAACCTGCCCTGCCTCAGGTCCTGCCCTAGCTGTGAAAAAAGGGTAATTCTCAGAAGCCAAATAGATCAACATTTGTAGGTGAAACCAGACCATTAGGATACCAGTGCTCCAGTGGACGGCTGTTTTCTTTCTGGGCCTGTTCAATCAACGCGCCAGCATTTGCTTTGTGATCCTTACAGACACGGAACACGGCGCTTGGTAGTAACTGTACTTCTGTCTGGAAACATTTCCCGTGTACCATCCCAGATAACAACGTGCGGAGAGGGGAACCTGCTGCTTTTCATCATCTGCTACTGTTTGTTCAGTTATCTGTGCTCTCCAGCAGGCCACTTTCGGGGTTATCAGAGGAACATTCCCAGGTTGTTTTTGAGAGCTTTCTTTCACGCAATAGAAGAGGAAAAAAAGGCAAAGTGTGGTTGTAAAAGAATTAGCGGTGAGACTCAGGGCAAGCACAGCAAGTCAAATTACATTTAATTTCTCTGTTTGAAATTACTCTGGTGTCCGGCTCACAACTCTATTTAACTTGAATTCATCAGCCATCGTCAGTCAAATATGAATGTGAATGTCTTCTGCTTGTGAATCAGTCTCATCTCACCTGAGGCATCCACAGTATCTTCTGAGTCCTCAGAAAATGGTAGCAAGCCGAAAAACGCTTGTATCCTCCCTTCAGGACGAGCACGGGATGGCGGGTGAACCACCCCAACCTTCTGGCATGTCGGACAGCAGTTCCTTCCTCAGCATCTAACGAGATCAAAACGCCACTTGCCAGGGCAGGGTTAGTGCCTCCATTGGCACCGGGGGCTACACCTGTCCCACCGACACCCAATTCCTTTTCACTTCACCCAAGGGGCTGTAGAAAGCCCTGTTAAAAGCTAGCCTTACCCTCTGACTGTGGCTGCAGGTCAGTAACAGGGCATGCTGCTTGTCACTTGTCCTGATCTTTTATTCCTCTCCTGGCTCCTTTTGTAGGTCTAGATAAAGGGGTTTTTTTCCCCTCCCCAGTATTCTTTGGGAAATGCTTGTAGTAAGTTCCTATCATAGGCAATTATTATTAAGGCTAATAACCTTAGTTTTGTGGAGGCCCTTCTCTTTCGTCTGCCTCAGGCAAAGGCAGACAGAAGGAGGTATCTTGAATAAATCCTTCACAAGTGTTTTCAACACTCCCCTCAGTGAAGTAAATTATGGGAGATGGCTGCTCCCCGTCCTTCTCCCAAGGGATCATCCTGCTTGCCTCCAGCTAGGCCCGCTTCAGAAACGGGTCAGCACAATGGAAACCCACTCCTGATTCTTCACCCCTTCCCTTGCTACTGTCTCACCACTGAGCATTTATGAACATGCTTGCTTTGTTCATTCCCCTTACACTCCCAGACTTTTTCCTTAAAAAAAATGATGTAAATCTTTGCTAGAACGCTGGTAGCCTTTATAAAGCTAACCAACAACCCTACGGAGGCGGTTCTGCACACAGCAGAGCTCCTTGCCAAAGGATGCGTGAAAGGGAAACATTTCCGTGGTTCAAGGAAGACTGAACAATTAGATGGAAAAGTTTCCAGCTGTTCACATTTCTCAGGGAACTGCATGAAATCACCACCCCCATTAAAGCTAAGTCCTTTCAAATATGATACTGTGAAAGACTTTCATAACCCTCAAAGAAGGAAGTACTCACTCTGCGGACACACAGAACTTGAGCCGGTGTTTTCAGCCTCTGAAGAAGCACTGCTCCCTAAAAGACAATCATTGGACAAGCCCAATCTCAGTGAAATGTGGGGGAAAAAAAAAAAAAGAACCCATTCCTCACGTGTGACAAGGAGCTTCAGAGGGATCAGTCCACAGACAGGAAACCAGGCCTGCCAGGATGATTTGAAATAAAATCGGGACTTTTGAAGCCTAAGAACATGCAACACAGTGAAAAACCAGAGATGTAGCACAGATGTGCGTTTTTCGAATAGAACTGGGTAAATTTGAATCTCTTCCAAAAAGCTCATCAAATTAAATGAGGAATGGGAGGAATATTTCTCTGGCAGTGAGGTCTTCACTAACAGGGGTCACACGCACCTTTTTCTTTCTCCTCTTCCTCAGAGTCACAGCAATCCAAAGAGCTGGTCTCGCAGTCATATACCACACAGTATCGGGCACACCTCAGCTCCTCGGAATCCGGTACCAGATACTTCTTCCCCGTAGGACTCTACCAGAATCACAGAGGAATTCTACCAGGAGCACAGCTCCACTCTTTTCTTGTGGCATTAACGCCACCGACACCTTGCAAGTTACTACTCTACAGCTACGGGGTGGGTTTGGGGCTATGCCTGTGCTTGACGCTGAAAGACACGTTCAGAACTCAGCAACCGCGCAAACTACGCCGGTGAGCTTCATCAGCCACAGCGCTGAAGGTGCCGCCACTACCCTTTGTGAGACAAGCTACACTATGTTAGCTCTTGTGCAATGGTTTTCCTGATGTACAGCTCCTCTGTGCCAATCCCTTGGGCCACTGAAGCCACCTTCGCTTTGTGACAGAACGCACCCCCCAGTGGCAGAAACGGAACGTGGCTGAAACAGGCAGGGGAGAGGCTGGGACAATTCCCGTGGGTGTTAAGCCAGTTTTGCCTTACTGCTAAGTGCTAAATCCAGGGGTGGTTTACACGAACGGTAATCCCCTCACCTGTGCAATCCTGCGTGCTGTAATAATATGGCTCTCATCGTATTCACGCTGAGAACGGGCATCTGAAAAAAACCAACCAAGACAGAGCAATTGGCTTATTTGTTGCTTTAAAGGTGGACTCCTGTGCATTATCCAGTCAGTGGGAATTCAGGTGCTGACATCAACCAGAGGAAAGAGATCCATGTTTTGAGAAACGGAGACTTTCTGATGTGGATGTAACACCTGGTGTAACATGGAGCGATGCTGGCAGCTTTAGCCCTGACCCTCCGCAGCGTTCGCAGCACCAGTCCCCCGCTCCCTTCTGCTCTGCCCTGTGGTGCAGCCTGGTCCCCACTCGCCGGGCCTGCTCTGACCTCCTGGTGTCCAGCACCTCTGCCCCTGTGCTGCCCCAGAGATGGAGAGAGGGGCACCGGAGAGACCCCCGACGCCACTCCCAAACTGGCCGACTCCCTCGCCAACACATATAATAATATCCTGGTATCAGGCACCCATTTTTGGGACGACGCAAGAGGCAAACACTTGTCAGCAATCTCTGTGGACAAGGAACCTTATCTACCCCTAAAGCCGCCGGGAGCAGCGGGGCAGAGCGTGTGTCCCTGGGCGGCTCAGAGCACGCCGGAGCGGCACCGAGTCATGGCACCTGATGGGAGAGACACCCCGACTGCACGGCCCGGTCGGTACAAGAGCGATGTGGCCCTTCTCCGCACGCCGGAG